TGTATGATATAGATTACTTTTCCTTTTTAAGAAATTTTTAATCTCAAATGATCTTTATGACACTACTGAATGCCCTTCCCAAGTAAAAATATTAGAAAGTTGTACAGATGTCTATAATAATTTCAGATTAAAATATGAGTTTTTCAAAAATTGAGTTTAGGCACATATCATATGCAGATCAATAAAATATGTTTTTGAAATTTATTAGTTTTTGGTTTAAAAAGAGATTTGCAAGTTTATTATTTTAAAATAGAATACAAATTGTGTCGAAATTTTAAATACATTTTAAGACACCAGTTTTTTGAAATAACTATTTAACATCTGAAATAACTCTATTGTCAAGTAAAAGTTGTTTACAAAGATTAATTTAAAAGCTGTATAAATTGGTTAATCAAAGACGTTTAGAGCACAACATTGAATTTTAAAGCACAACCTTCATCCTTATGGAAAACGATTTGGCTACCAAGTTTCTGAAAAATAGCATCATCATATTTTACTGTGAAAGATTTATTGAAAAGATAAATATTGCCCGATTCATTAAGTCCTTGAAGTCTGCAAAGTTTAATTTTTCCTGAAAGCAAATTGCTAGCGAGTGAACCACAACTTTGGGATATATTTTTGCTGAGTGCCCGGCGGCATCTCCGCTTCTCCATTTCGCCAAGTTGGAGATGCGTGTGCTTGACTCCGGCACCGGAAGTGCCGCCATTAGTCGCCTTTGTGCCACGTTATCCGCACGCCGGAATCCATGAGTGGCATGGAACACTGGGCGCTCGGTTCGGTTTCATTGTGCTGGAGTGGGTGGCTAACCGGTTATGGAAGGCCAAGATGAATTGCTGCCGCCCAGCTCGTTCATTAACCAAGTTTCCCCTAATCTAATCCCCACCTCCAGGTAACATTGGCTCCATGATCTCCAACATGAATGTGGCTCGCGTGGAGTTCCAGAATCGCATGGACGGCGTGAAGCAGTACATGGCCTTCCGGCGGGTGGGTCACGAACTGGAGGCCCGGGTGATCCGGTGGTTCGCCTACACGTGGTCCCAAAGTGGGGCACTGGACGAGGAGCGGGTGCTGGCCGCCTTGCCCGACAAACTGAAGGCGGAGATTGCCATCCAGGTGCACATGGATACGCTGAAGCAGGTGCGGATCTTCCACGACACGGAACCGGGTCTGCTGGAGGCTCTCGTCCTTAAACTCAAGCTGCAGGTCTTCAGTCCGGGCGATTACATTTGCCGCAAGGGCGACGTGGGCAAGGAGATGTACATTGTGAAGCGGGGCAAGCTCTCCGTCGTCGGAGACGATGGCATCACCGTGCTGGCCACCTTGGGAGCCGGTTCCGTATTCGGTGAGGTTTCCGTGCTGGAGATTGCGGGCAATCGGACGGGCAACCGTCGAACGGCCAATGTGCGATCCCTGGGCTATTCGGATCTCTTTTGCCTGGCGAAACGGGATTTGTGGGAGACTTTATCGGATTATCCGGAGGCCAGATCCACACTCACTCAGCGAGGATGCCAACTGCTGCGCAAGGATGGCCTACTGGATGAACAGATATTCGCTGGTAAGTTCGTTACTCAAATTTAATCATCAGAAAACGCCGTGTGGGTCAATATTATGGCTATTAATTCCTTTTAATTGGTTGTTTTTATGGGGCTTATGAATCCGCCATCGTTTTTAATCTCTCAAGCAATAAATTGATTTTTAAAATCCCAACCTATTTATGAATGTTGGCTTCTCAAAGCGATACCCAAGATTTCATTATTTTAAATTTGATATTTAATTTTAGCAATTGTTGAGCTCTTGAAATCATAATTTCACCAATTTGCTTAATAATTGCAATCCAATGATTCTTTTATTACATTTTATTATTACATATAAAATTAAAAACATTAAAATTAATGAATAAAGTATCCCATCTGTGACAGTTAGTAAAAGTTTTTTATTTACATGCCGCAAATTAACAAAAAAGGAAATTATTACCTGACTACTTTAGACTTGTAATAATGTGCCTTTAAATTTTATAGAATTATATAAATTGAATAGTAATTTTAATGAATACAATTAAAATTCGCAGATTCGCAAAGGGTGCACGATAGCATTGAGGGCGGCATTGAGAAGTTGGAGCTGTCGGTGGAGAACCTCAACATGCGGCTGGCTCGCCTCCTGGCGGAGTACACGGCCAGCCAGGCCAAGATCAAGCAGCGCCTGGCCAAGCTGGAGATGAAGTGAGTGTCCTTGGAGTGTTGTGCCTGAATTTACAACCTAACCCCCCTTGCCTTTTTTGAATCCCCTTTCAGCGGCGGCCCTGGCACGTGGCGACTGGAGTGCGAGCCTCAGACGCGGGTTCGCAGCGGTCGCCTCTATTCGCTGCAGCCCAAGAGGCGCCCACGTTCGCGACCCGACGCGACTGCCAAAATCGGCGATGCTGCCAAGCAGAACACGCTCTAAGTCCCCGGAAAAGCAGCGGGAAAAGCCCCGGTCTCCACTGAAAAACCCCCTCCAACCTTCATATCTCCAACCGAGGCCGGAAAATAGTGATAAATGCATTAAACTTGCAGGAGAGTTTTTTTGGCCAGGGAGATAACCCCTTGGCTCGAAGCCAACTGCTATTTGGCCTGGGCCAATCAATTTTTAATTTTTACAATTAGTTTGTAGCGCAGACGGGTTGGGGGGGGGGATGATGACTAAAGGAGTTGTTTGTTGCAAACTTTATAAATTTGTAAAATGATTCAAAACTGAATGTGCCTCAAAAGTGTGTGCGTGTGTAGAGCTAAGATAAGAGGGGCGAACGGAAAGGCAGGGCAATGGAAACGGCGACGGCGACCCATCTAGTTAACCCATTACGATCCAGTGTACACATTTTAAGCATAGTCCAATTTTACACGTGAACCGAAAATGTTCGCCTAGGCTAGGATGATTTTACACACACCGACCGATGGATTAATTGCACCAAAATCAAATCGACAGACCAGTTAAGATACAATTTCACATTAACTACTGACCAAGAACCGAGGACTTTGCTGAAATACTTAAGAGGACGAGGACGGAAGGGTGGTGCACACAAATCGAATTCAATGAAAGCAAATGTTAACAACCAAGCTTCCAAAGCTTTCAAACCAACGCAAAACAAACAAAGTCAAGAAACAAAATGGAAAACAAATGAAATGTATTTTTATATTAGTCCTAGACATTGAGTGTACGATGTATTGTCTGTGTGTAAGTACAGCTAAAGCTACAGAATAAACGAGAATCGAGTAAAATTATACGGAGCACTTATGTCTTAGCGAAAACATATCCGGCGCAAGTGTTTCAGGCGACGGGTAAATGCAAATCGCCCACAGCCTCCGGCCACGCGTTACATCCAAAGGATTCTTTGCCAGGAGTCCTTTTACTGGCTCTAATGACATCTATGAAGGCGTAGACAACAAAAAATACAGAAAGAAATAAAGGAGAAAGGAACTGTGTACGAGAGCACCAACAAAAAAGTCAATAAATGCAGACGCATTGGGGAAAATGACAGCGACACGCGTTGGCTTTTTAGCTGCGACTTTCTTTGTGCGTACAACGCGGCGTATGAGCAATGCCAGAGCTAAAAAGGTAAAATGGAGAAGCATAAGTGTAACGTGGGAAGAAGGGGTCTTTACACAGCAAATTATGCTACAATAATAAAATATTACTTTTGGTTTTAACATAATACATCAAAAATACTTCATAGAACCTATCACAGATTACATTACATAATCAGATAAAGAATTCCCATGAATCTCATTATTTTGGAAATGCTTAAGAGTTCCTTATTGCTTATATGAAGTTCAAATCATCAAATTTATTACTTTGAATAAATTACACTTGGAAAGGTAAGAAATTCAGCATCATAATAGAAGTGCAATTTCGGATATATATTTTGTAATTTGAAGAGCAAATATTATTTGAAATTTGCATTACAAGTCTAGGAACATATAAAAAATATATCTTGCCTCTCAAAAAGGGGATTACAAATTAGGTACAATATAATATCAAAGTCGATTTTCTTCTAACCTAAATTCAATTAATAAATATAAGATAAATTAGTTAATAATAATTTTTTGTCACAATTATTTTGTATTTATCTCTGTGTATAAGGCACACGGAACCATGTGGAGCCATGCGGAACCCCAAAACGGTCGCATCATGCCGTAAGTGCAGTAAAAAATCAATTTTGACAAAATGTTGAAAAACACACTCAAAGCCTTAAAAACGTAAAGGAGAAGTTGGGCCCCTTGAAAATCACTTGGGCGGTGCTACATATTAGGGGGCGTGGCACGTGAACGGAACCGATTTTGGTGAAGAGGCCGCGGGGCGTTGGAAAATGACTGACAATAAAATGTTGACGCAGCCAAAGAGCATTATGGATACAGGGTGCTTGAAGGCGATTGGATTAAGTCGATAAGTCTATGGGTAGGGGCTCAAATAACCCCACTCCGATGAGGAACACAATAACATTGGGAGTACCTGCTGGTTTTTGCTTTATTAAAGGCAGGCCTCCTCATATAGCTTAAGCTGATTGATGTTGAGGGTTTCTCAGTTCACACATCTGCATAAAATAAATCCTAATGTGTTTGTGCTGTTGATGTTGGTTTTTCGTTTATTGAAAAAAGGTGAGTGAGCAGTTTTCACTCAAAGATTTCAGTGGGAAAACTGGTTAATAAAGAGTTACATTTTTGACAGTCGAAAGCCCTTAATTTCATATTGTTTCCCCTCATCTTATTTTTATAAAAATACATTTTTTAGGGTATTATCAAATGTTAAAATGACATACCTAATGAGACTTGTGGTTTGATTCTCTAAAAGTCTGCATTACAATTTGTCATTTTGTTAGTTATTTTTAAATTTCCAATGACTTGTAGAAAGGTGACCGAAAATAAAACTTCTAAAGTCAATAACTTTATTAAATTAAAGCCGTTTTAATTAAGCTGTTATAAAAACTTAATAGGCTGAGATTTCAAAGTCGAAAGTGACTTGTTTTATCTTATGAACTGAAAGGCCCTGTTACACCTGAAAAAAAACCTTTCAGTAGCACACGTTTGGAAATAAAAAGTAAGTTAGACCATGTCCCAGCCATCCCCGTCACCTGGTGATATGCAGTCCCTCCGCTGTCTGCACTGCATGAAGGTGATCCGTTGTTCCCGCTACGATACCAGTGGACTGGTTCGCCACATCGAGCAGGATCACCCGGAGATCTACGCGGCGACCAACGATAAAATCAGGAATTTGCACAAGCTGGCCGCGGACCACGGCATCAGCGAGGAGCGTCTCTCGAGGATTAGCAAGATGACGGGTCTCTCGGAGTCTCAGATGGCCGACAAGGCGGATAAATGTAAATGTTTTAAGGGGAATATACATACTATTTTAGTGACATCTCTTCCTTACAAGACATAGCCAAGAAGATGAGCTCTGGTCGGAGTGGTGGCTCCGGCACTGGAGAGCCAGCGGAAAAGGATGCCTCCACTACGGCGTGCAGTGTAGCATCCTCGAAGGAGGAGAAGTCCTCGTGTCCGTGCCCATGTCCACGGCCAGTGGACAAGACGACGGCTCATCGGAGGCACTGCTATCGGGCCTCCATCGAACGCTGGGCTCCGGCGGAGGGTTGCATCTTCTGCCCGTGCTGCGCCTGCAACAAGCGTCCATTGATCAAGGCTGCAACGGAGATCGTGGAGGCCGGATGCTGTGCATCCTGCGTGGTCACCTGCTGGCCCCTGTGCTTCCTGCCCTGTCTGCTGCCCTCGGACAATCGGGAGTACCTTTACTGTCCCCACTGCCGCACCTTCCTTGGCATCTACGATCGCGACAATAACTGCGTGAAGCCCAGCAAGGAGTTTGTATCCTGCGCCACGTCGGCCACGCCCCCTCCAAAATCACCCCTCATACCGCCCCCACAATAATCTTCTAAGGACTTTTAGGGGAATTTGTATTTTTTTAATGTTCAAATTGTTCGTGTAAAGCTTTGACCGGGTTAATAAGCCAGTTGGCCACTATGTTGCTATCTTAAATAGCAAAGAAGGGGTACTATTATATATATGTACATATTTTTATTTTTGATTTATCCTTTAAAGAAATCTTTGTGTAACTAAAGTAAAATATTTTGGTCAATATAAGAAAATAAATTTAAAACCCCACATTTTTATTAATAAAACTAAACTACTACACAGTGGCGGATCCACGGGGGGGAAATTAGGTAAATTTCCCCCCCTTGGAACCGCAGAACCTGAAAATTTTAATTGTTTGCTAGAAATCACCGCGATTTCCAGTTTTCGTCTTTTTCAATTTCCCCCCCCCAAGAATCGTCTCTGGATCCGCCACTGCTACTACAACCATTAAAAGAAAATGTAATTAAAGTTCTTAAAATATCCAACAACTTTTGCAATTGTATAATTAAACCTAAAAAATCAACATTAATATTTAAGAAACGAAATATAAATTATATCTTTTTATTTTTTTAATTAAAAATCATTCGAAATTCAAGCTTTTACAAATTTTAAATAAGGCCAATAATAGCTAGATTATCTAGGGTTACCCTTACAAAAATAGCTAGTAAGGTGGCGTGAAAATATATGATTGCGGTATATTCGGTATTTTAGAGTGTTCCCGGTAAGGTCATACTGATTCTGACGCTGGAAATTCGATTCGCCTTTTTTATGATGGAATTGTCGCCAAACAACCAGATCGAGGACAGAAAACCCATCCTAACCGCCGACGGCCTGGTGCAGACTTCAAACTCCCCCTTCGAGCCGACGATATCGCAGGAGACCCAAACGTCCAACGGAATCGGGGGACAGTGTCAGCTGACGGTGGACCAGTTGGACATAGAGATTCTGCCGATAATCTACGACATTGTGCGCTGGTGGGTTGGCGCTATGTTACAGGTTTTGGGGCCAATGCCCCTGTCCGGATAATGCCAAAAATACACAAAATGCGTCAGCAATTGCGCACTCAAAACGGGGCCTTATATAACATGATGTCTTTGTGTCTTGCAGCGTGGAAAAGGATCCTCTGGAGAACGCCGTGAAGCAGCGGGAGTCCCAGGATTGCAACCACAAGGTGGGTTTTTATATTATACAATCCGACAAGCTCTAATTTGAATCCCCTTTGTAGATCTTTGAGCTGCAAAAACGATTTGAGTCCGCCCGCGAGCAAATCCGCCAGCTACCCGGCATCGATTTCAACAAGGAAGAGCAGCAGCAGCGATTGGAACTACTGCGCAACCAGCTGAAGCTCAAGCAGCAGCTGATACGCAAGTACAAGGACACGGAGTTCTAGGCAGGATTAGGAAGCGGAAGAACCCGGCAAGATGGTGCTGCGACTGCTCATGCGCTACCTGGCCAACAACGAGCAGCTCATCCAGCGCATGGCGGATAGCTATCCCATGCGACGCGCTGCCCAGATGGCGGTCTCCCTGATGTACCGCACCAAGAGCTTGGCCAGAGAGCAGGGACTGCACGAGATGACGCCAGAGCGCTTTAAGTTAGTCTTTATCCCGGCAGGCGATTCCAAAACTAAACATAATTTCCCAATTGCAGGGCCTTCGTCAACATGTTCAAGAACAACGTGCGACAAGAACTGGAGGGAGTCAAGAAAGAGCTCAATAGCAAGAAAAAGAACTAGGAATCATTGATTAATTTGGTCAGCACCAGCAATTGTATATACGCGGCAAGATAAATTTTAGTTAACTACAGTAAACACAAATGAATAAACATTGAAGCCTGAACATTTAAATCAGCCTAAATTTGATTTTTTATAAAGTACTAAAGGTGAAAAAAGTAGAAATCAGCTGCCATCTTTTATTCCTTCCAAGGTAAATAATATCGTAGATTTGTAGTCAAGAAAATTGCTTTTATTGAATGGATTGAAAAACTAGACATCTTAATTCATTTTCCAGTGACAGTAGTTATCTTAACTCTAAATAACAAAAAAAAGAAAATCCAGATTGTCATTCGAAAACCATCGTTTTACAGAAGAAGTATCATTTTAAATAATCAAAGTATAACTTAATTTATGCATTCACAACGCTTTCAACTTTAGTAATACAAGTAATTCGTTAAAGTCGGCAAATTCATTAAAATTTGTTGTCTTAAGTCAAAAAACAAATAGAAAATATGTATTTTTACATATTTAAATTAATAATTCAAGTAAAATAAAATCGAATTTTTGGGTTTATTCAGAAATAGGAGAAAATTCAAAAAATGTTTGTGGCATCTGTGAACTTAACTATAAAACATATAAAAACGGACAAATTCAGTTTAAGTTAACACTCAGATTAAATATAAATTCCAATTTATAATATGATAAACAGAATTTAGTAAGGAAACTAGGTAAACGAAAATTCATGATGCAGTGACTTTTGTGGTCTTAATTCTAGAGAACAAAAAATATCGAATTCGGTTTGGCATTTCGCACAATGTACAGTGGACGAGAACGGGACACGGAACAGTTTATTTGAGGCAGACGCCCCTTCAGATCAAGAGTCCGGACTGGAGAGTAGGAAAATATATTCATCCGCATTTTCCGCGCTTTAAGGATTTCAAAAATACTTTAGCTTACAAAACTAGAAAGAACAAAATTTTGAGGGCGGCACGATTCACTCAGTGAGACCTGTCGTCGCGACTTCTGCGGCGGACGGCGAAGCTATCTCGCCGAGGGGCAGACCCAGACCGGACGAACCGTTGGACTGACCTGTCCCTCCACCTGACGGAGTTGGACGATTGTTTCGTTTCCGTTTTCCGCCGCGCCGGCTTCCGCCCTCGCGCTTGTCGCCGTTCTGCTTCTCCTCGCCGGCATCCTTGCTGCATCCCGCTCCCGAGGTGCTGCCTTGACCCTGCTGACGGTGCTGGTTGTTGCTGCCATTGCTGCCGCCGTTCTGTGAACGCGACTGCATCTTGGCGGGCTTGGGGCGATATGGAGATGCAGCGGCATTCGGTAGCGGGCGCAGGATGTTGCCCACCGCCTTGGTGCGTCCCTCGCGGAAGACCAGACGCTGACCGGAGCGAATGTACTCTGGCTGCTTGATGAATCGGAACTTAACATGTGCCTTGTCGCCGGTCCGTAGGCAATCACGCGACATGTGGATTATGGAGGCTGTTTGGCGGATGCTGCCGCAGTGAACCATTGCCTGGTAGCGCGCCGATATCGTCGTTGGATGATGCAGCACTAGGATCTCGCCCTCGAACTCCCAGCATGCCTGCGGCTTGAGATCCTGCGACACCATCACCATGCCTTTGCGCAGATAGGCGCGTTTGATCTTCTTAAGTGCAAAGCTTGCCGTTTGGCCACAGCGCACGCGCGCCACATTCATCCGCTTACGGTGGATGCTCTTGATGGTGATGGGCACAAATCCACCCACGGCGTCTGGTCCCAGCATCAGACCGTCGTTTAGTCGGATGGTGCCTTGGAGGCAAGTGCCGGAGACGACCGTGCCAACACCCGGCACCGAATACACATCGTCAATTTGAAACTCGGCTGGCAGACTCTCGGAACCGGCCATACGCGTGCTCAGCAGGTTAAGGAACATCTTGAGCAGCTCCAGATTATCACCGGTCACATTGGACACCTGGAAGATAGGGCATAGACGCTCGCTAACGAAATTCGTAGCGCTAAGGACGACATCGTCGTGCGAACGCACCACTACCGGCACCTTCCGGCAGCCCTGCGATTTGAGCATCTTGAACAGTAGTTTCATGTTGTCCTGCAGCACGTTGGCCGGGCACATGTCGATCTTGGTGACCACCACAAAGACGGGCACGGCTAGAGCTAAGGCCAGGCCCAAATGCTCCTTAGTCATGCCGATGATGCCAGCATTGGCGCCAATCTGGAGAGAGTATATCAGAGTTAAGCCACGCTGCGATTGCTTTACCGAAGTACTCACCATCAGCATGCCAAAGTCTGGAGCATGTCCCGTCATGCCGAAGACCGTGGTTTTCAGGTAGCGCTCGTGCCCCGCCAGGTCGATGAAGGTGATAACCTTCGCCGAGTTCTCGCAGATCTTCACCCAATCCAGGTGGCCGTGGTCGGGCTTATTGACTACATTGCCCACCCCATCAAAGCCGAGAATGTCGTTGCCCACAGAACTAGTGCGTCCACTCTCGATTTCGTGCTTGTGACGGAAAAGACGCTGCCTGGCATGACCACGGCCATTGTCCAGCTCGCCGTGGGTAAGCACGCCCAGCAGCGTGGACTTGCCAGCATCCACGTTGCCCACAACGGCCACTCTAAGGAAAGGAAAAACTGTCAGATTTGGATTTCTCAGAGAGGGGATCTTTATCTTACCTTATCTCCATAAAGTCCGTCGTCTCAATGTGCTTACGGATAAGGAACTGCGCCGATTGGCCCTTCTCTGCCCGCCGCTCACGCAGCTTGACCACATCCGCATCTATGTTGGCCGCCAGAAGATGTAGCGTAGCCACGGAGGCATCAAACTGCTCCGGATTCAGGCCATTGTCGCTGCCATCTATTAGACATAGGATTTCAATTAATATAATAGTTAGCAAGTTACTTTGAGTTTCCGATTTCTATTGCTATATTTTGACTCCTATTTTTTAAATACAGCATAATAAATGTCACGAATTACGAGATCCAATTGGTGAATCACTTAAATAATGAAAAGTAGGTTGGATTTTACCTATTATACTATTATTAACAATTAATTTCGGTTCCCTTGATTTGAGCTAGGCTTTGGACTGTTGAAAGGACTCACCCTCGCCCACGCCAATCTCGTAGATGGTCTCCCCGCAATTGTCGGCTATGCGATCCTGGAGCCTCTTCTGCAGCAGTTCCATCTGCTCGTCGCTGGGCTGGACCAGGACATCCTTGCCCCGGATGCTGGAGTAGTCCACACTCATGGCGGCCATCTGCTGTGGCAGACCATCCACGTTGAAGATGTTGCTCCGGGCCGTCTTGATGCCCACGCCTACGGCCCCGCCCCCGCCATTCGGGGCACTCTGTACGTTATTCATAGTGCTAGTAATTATCAGTTGCCTCACTGTATCCTTGGAATCATTGGAATCTGTGTGTGAGTGTGCAGGTTGATGGTGATGCTTGATGTTTGGTGAGTTCTGCAAGGATTAGAGAGGAAGTGCGTCGGTTAGAAGGTGGAATTTCCTGGAGACTGGAGGCAATCCCGACCTATCCTACGCCCATTTGGCTGAGTTGTGCTTTCGTCTTTTGCCTGGTGTTCACTGCTTGCATCGCGATGATAGAATAAGCATGAAGAAGCTAGCGGCGCTGCTTTTATAACCGCCCACAAGGATGATGAAATTCCAAGCTACGCATGATGCAATATTCGCTTTAATTGTGCACTCCAAAGAGAGGCCAAAAGAAGAGAACAAGGTGAAGAGAAGAAAGAGTTCAAGGAACTTCCCGCATTCTACAAACATTTCCTTAGAAAGTGAAATTATTTTTAACCCTAAATGGAATTTCCACCACGGTTCTACGACCCAAGCGGTATAATCCCAGGCTGCGATGATGAAATATTAACTCAAGTTGTGTACTCCAAAGAGAGGCTTATAGAAACATAAAAGAGAGTAAAAAAAGAAAGGTTCACGAAAGCTCGCATATTTAAATTCTTTCGTTGGAAAATGAAATGACTCTTATCGCTGGGAATACATTGTTGCGGTTGGCTTGCCAAAATATTGTTGATCAGCCTCATTTTTTTAAAAATATATTTATAGTCACTCAAATTTATAAAAAAAGGAGTTAAGAACCGCATTTGTTTTATAAATTTAAAATGTACTACATATGTATGTATAAATAATAATGTCTATCTAGGGTTAAGAACAGCTGATGGCCGATTTGTATTTGTTTATATAATAACGCTTTGTTGACGTACACAAAGAGCAGATAAATAGCAACAAATGTCATTAGTTAGTACGCATTTTTCGCTGTTTATTTATAGGCGGCAAACAAAGAGCGCAGGTAATGCGTGTATGTGTATGTGAGTGCCAAACATATGTACTATGCACTTGTGGACATACATACATATTTGTATGTGGCAAATCAAAACAAACACAAAATCTGCATAATAATCGCCAAACATTTTGTTTGTTTTGGAGCGGCAAGAGGTTGGGAAAAGTTTAAAAGTGGCCATTGAGTAACCAGCCAAACAGTAAATCAGCTGAAGTACCCTTTTTAGATGCATGTTGAACTTGGCAATAAAAAGTGAAAGGGTAATGGGGAACACAGTAAAACAAACGGGGACTTCGTCCTTGCCACTTACAGTTCATATAGATAGCCTTCTGTGCTCGTATCAGTCCAGTGTCTGCCTCTGTACCTTTTAGTTGTTAAAGCGATTTGTATAAAATTTGTTTAGCTTTTCCTAAGCCACGTACCGTGCGGCGTTGCCAGACCGACTTAATATCATATGTACCTGATGCTACTTATCGATAGTTAACTTATTTTTAAATACATTTGTACTTCCCCCTACATCAGTATTTCTGGTATTTCCTAATGTTGAAAATATATTGAAATTGAGTTAAACATTTTAAGTTTAATTCGTACAATCTTTTTAATTTATTCAAAGTAGTTTTCAGCAGTACTTCCCCCTACATCAGTATTTCTGGTATTTCCTAAAAGCTCATCTCTAATTGAGCAGGATGTAGTCAATGGCTTTCTGGTCATTGTGAAATAAATACGGAATAAAACTAGAGGGCCCAACCTATTCGTAGGTTATTGACGAGATACTCAGATATGGAGGGTGACAACACGGAAAGTGCCGTCGGCGAAGGCGGAGAATCTGCCCCAGCAACTGACTCATCGCCTGCGTTGAATGTGCTTTGCGCAATTTGTAATGAATTTTTCCGGGCTAACGACATCATATTCTCAACCTCCAAGTGCGGCCATGTTTTCCACAAGGACTGCCTGACCCGTTGGTTGAATCGATCCAGCACCTGCCCCCAATGCAGGTCCTCCTGCACCCGGAATCGTGTTCACCGGCTGTACCTGAACTTTTCCGAGGCCACGGAGTACGATGACACAGAGCCTCCGAAGATGCCCATCGAGTGGGTGCCCTTGGATCTGGACGTGCACAGTAGCCCGGACGCCCACCTGCCGCCCGAAGGAGCAGTCCAGTGCGGCACCAACGAGGACGGGCTGCCGACATATGTGGCCAGGGGCTACTACGACGATGATCTCCTACCTTCCGTGTATGTGCCGGAAAAAAAGGCCGCCTACGGATCGTATTCTTGTCGTGCTCACGTTTTGACCGACGATGTGGAGATCCTGGTGCTGAACGATTGTGACCACAAGTGGGTGGCTGGTCGGCATGGAAGCTTTCCGCAGGATGCCATCCACACGGGCTACTCCGAGTTGGGCGAAGTCACCTATACGGGTCGAGGCTTCTACGAGGGAATCCTAAGATTGGGCAAGGTGCATCCCAGTCATAAGGTCATGTACATACCTCACCGGGGTCAGGAGGTGAACGTTAACACCTACGAGGTCCTGGTCGTCACCCCACGTGATCACGCCGAACGATGATGCTTTAGCATACCGGAAATCTCTTTATGAATTGTGTCTTATTACTGTATGAATTTTGTTATATGTATGTATGTACGTCTATGATGTTAAAATATAAAAGAATTTTTGATTTGGGGCTTACCCTAACATTATCTGTTGTTCTCGAAGTGTACGTAGCCTAGTTATCAGTTATTTTAATTTATTTACTCATTTTATACCCTGCACGGTATAGTTGTTTTGGCTTCAAATGTAATCAGCATGTTTAATAACAACATTTTTATTTTATTTTACTATGTATTTTATTTTGAGAGATAAGAACTAAAATTTGTATGATTTTTATTTATCAGGAGCACTCTGTTTTCACTTCAACTTTACAGAACGCTGTTATTTTTTTTAGCTCCTCGGGAACTTTAATTTATGGGTAATTTTTTTTTAATCCATTTTTAAAAGGTATGCAACCCTTCGTTGAAAATAACTATTTTAATATCTTAACTTATCTACCACAATGTTCTATTTAAAATTTCATCCAATTGTAGATTATCATTTTATCTTAAATTTTGTCAATTCCGATTTTTATTCTTATTTAAGGGTGTTAAAAATGGTAATCTGTGAACGGACCCAAACAGACACATTATGCGTTGATCAATTCCTTATCATATAAAAGAAAGAAAGAAAACATACCCAAAAGATAACCTGCTTACAGATTGGTCTGTTCGATAATAGCCAAAATCTGTAGGTAGTGAAAATGGAAATGGGATGCGAGGTTTCTTTTTAAAAAATTGTCTACTTTTGTTCATTTGCGGTCCAACAAACCGAATATATACATAGTTCGGTCAATTGCTCTACATTATAACAAGTTTAGAGTTAAATTGTTATTTGAAATTTTTTTGTTTTTTTTAACACTTATTAAATGGAACAAAAAGCCCAGAGTAAATCATCATCCTTTGGAGTTATATGTGCTATTTGTAGCGAGTTCTACACCCCCTACGATGTGATATCCCACTCTGCCAGTTGTGGGCATATTTTCCACAAGGTCTGTCTCACGCGCTGGCTGAATATATCCCTAACTTGTCCGCAGTGCCGAGCGAGCTGTCACAGGGACAAAATCCGCAGGATATATTTGAATTTCTCGGACAGAGAGGAAGGCAAACTGCCTGTTCAATGGGTTCCTTTGGATTCTAACGCTAAAAAACTACCGAAAGGCGTAGTTAAATGTGGCTTTGATGATAAAGGTAACTCAACATATGTGGCTCGTGTCTACATGAACAATGATTTGTTACCAGCAAGCAAAAAACAAAACAGCACTATGTTCCTGGGATTGTCAGGCATACGAATTCTTTTCGGAAGTGGAAGTTCTGGTGCTGACCGATTGCGATCATAAATGGGTGCCTGGCACAAAGGGAAGTCACTCGTCGGATTCTCTTCAAACCGGATACTCTGAGGATGGAGAAGTTACCTACACGGGACGTGGCGTTTACAAAGGAATCATACGGCTGGGAAAAGTGCATCCGTCACATGAGGTTATGTACATACCGCATCGGGGACTTGAAGTTAATGTACCAGACTATGAGGTCCTTGTAGTAAACCCTCGGTAAATTACTATTCTTACGAAATTGTTATTACTGCTTTCTTCATCTTCATGTTATAATTTTTTATTAAAAATGTGTTAGACGCTATGTATATTCTGATTAGTGTTTGGAACCTACGCATGTTGTGAACATAATGATTATGCCTAAACAAAGGGGTTTAAGTATTTATATAAGACTACTCGTATAACTCTACAATTCATATTTCTCACTGCACTCCGGCTTGGCTTTGTTGTTCCAACAAAGGGCCTCACAAAATTTGCTTTAAAAATACGTTTAGCTTGTATAATTCGTTTAATAAATCTGCTGAATCTGCACTGTAACATGACATTTAATATATATGTATATATTTAGCTAAAATACAAATATATATGTTCAACATGCTTGTAACATTTAATCAACAGGCTTTTACTTTTCAATAGAAATAGGATTTTTTTTTGTTGTTTCATTGACTTTGTACTTAGTTTCTAAACAATTTGTATGTATAAATATAAAAATGAGTGTGTGACTGTGTTTTGTGTGGGAGTGTTTATGTTTTGTTTGTGTGCGACTACATAAGACAATTATATATAATTGGTATTTACAAATTGATAGGATCCGATGTGTAATGCATGCGTGTGTTTTGTATTGTTTGTTTGCTGATTTATTGAGCCTGGTTTTGAGTTGGACAACGATTTGATTTGTAATTGGGCTGAATCGGTTGTTTTAGTTTGACATTTGAGCTCAGTTTAGGACGAAAAACAGTCTACGAGTATATATGTATAGTCCCTTCATTAGGAAACATTTACGGAAAACGATTCAGGAAACAACGAAAAAAAACTTGTTTAACAGACTTGAAGAACATTGTGGAAGTAACTGAGGGATGACTCTCTATAAACTATATTAACTAGTTTACAAATGTATTTTTCTGCCCTGACGAAGATGTGTTGCTCTGTCTCATTTCTGGGCCGACAGATAGTTCATGTACTTGGTGGTCTGCTGGGCATTCCGCACCAGCTCGCTCTCCTCCTTTATCAAGGGTGGCTGCTCCTGGACCTGACCCTGGCCACCCTGAGTCTGCCAGTTCTCCTCGTTCTGCGGTTGATGGATGTCCGGCTGGGAGCGGCGCGTGAAGTGGCGATGCCGCTGGGGCTGGTGTTGCGGCGAAGTCTGCTGGCGGCGATCAAACGAGCTGGACGCCTCGCTGGCCAAACTGCTCTGGCTACTGTAGCGCGGGAACCTTGGACCGCCGCCGCCTCCATGCGTGGGACTCTGGTTGTATCTATAGCCAGCAGACTTATCCATTTGAGACTTTGGCGGTCTTGGCAGAGTGCGAGCCCTCGATGAGCTGCGGCTATTCGACTCCGGTCCGTTAGAGTTGTACGCACAGTTCTCATCCTGGTAGCCACTATTTATGGCATTGTTAGAGCGCCGCCAGGTATCACTGTGTATTTTCTGATAGCCGCCCTGTTGGTGCTGCTGCATCTGTTGCTGCTGCTGCTGTTGTTGCTTCTGGAATCGCGGCGGCTTGTCGTAGGTGTTCCGGTTGTTAAATCGACCACCACGTTTGTAGTTGTTCCCGCGCTCGTAGTTACTAATATAGGAGCGTTCGCTGCGATCGTCACGATCTCTCTGATCCCAATTCGAGTTCACGATGCTGTTGTAGTTGCCTCCTCCAGTCATGTTGCGCTCAATCCGCTCCTGCGAGTGTTTCCTCCTGTCGTGGATGCTGTAGAGCCGCAGATTGCCGCCTCCTTCACTGCGCACGCTGTGGTGGTCATCGTCGCAGCTCACGCTATACCGCCGCTGTTGGTCCCGTGACCGTCCGTTGCTCTGGTCGCCGTCGTGGTTGCGGTTGAAGCGAGTCTTCCGCCAGCTAGGGAGCGGCTTGCTCTCGTCCCGATCCTCGCTGCTGGCCATGGATGGATACTGGTCGGAGTTGGTACTGTAGAGAAAAAGCGTATTCAATTATACCAATCATTAAAAAATAGGCAGTTAAAAAATATTAAATTACACAAATTTAAAACTTAAAACAAGAAAGAAAAGCTAACTTCGGGCGGAGCCGAAGTTGATATACCCTTGCAGAATATTCTGTAAATTATATTCTCCAAAATTATTCATATGATGCAATCTTAATACTCATAAAAAATCCCAACTTCCTAACTTTAAAAACACCAAAGTTATGGCATTTCCAATCGTTCAGTTATATGGCAGCTATAGGATATAGTCGGCCGATCCTTATGAAATTTGATAGGTTGGATTGATTGGTTAAAAATAGAACCCATAGAAAATCCCAACTTCCTAACTTAACAAAAACCAAAGTTGTGGCATTTCCGATCAATCAGTTATATGGTGGCTATAGGATATAGTCGGCCGATCCTTATGAAATTTGGTAGTTCGGATTGATAGGCCAAATATAACACCCATAGAAAATCCCAACTTCCTAACTTCACAAACACCAAAGTTATGGCATTTCCGATCAATCAGTTATATGGCAGCTATAGGATATAGTCGGCCGATCTTTATGAAATTTGGTAGGTCGGATTGATTGGCCAAATATAAAACCCATATAAAATTCCAACTTCCTAACTTAACAAACAGCAGAGTTATGGCATTTCCGATCAATCAGTTATATGGCAGCTATAGGATATAGTCGGCCGATCCCGGCCGTTCCGACTTATATACTGCGTGCAAAGGAAAGAAGGGTGTGTGCAAAGTTTCAATTCGATATCTTTAAAACTGAGAGACTAGTTCGCGTAGAAACAGACAGACGGACAGACAGACGGACAGACGGACAGACGGACAGACGGACAGACGGACAGACGGACAGACGGACAGACGGACATGGCTATATCAACTCAGGAGGTGATCCTGATCAAGAATATATATACTTTATAGGGTCGGAGATGTCTCCTTCACTGCGTTGCACACTTTTGACCAAAATTATAATACCCTCTGCAAGGGTATAATAATATGAGGAATGAAATGATATATATAAAAAACTTTTGTACAGTGTTCTCAATTCATTTTTCACCAGGGATCATCGAAAGCTATTTTCCACTCTTCGTTCAATACTGTGCATAACTAGGAGAATAGGATTATAAATGAATATAAAAATTAACTGAATAACAAATTATTCATATCAAACTATACAAGAAATAAACATTTTATATTTTTTTATTTTTTAACCTATCTCAATCATCAGTAAATTGTCGAAAATCAAACGAATATAATACAACAAAAAATACGTTTTTTAATAATGTCAAATAAGTTATTTGATTTAAAAGGTTTTCCTTGACTTACTTATAGGACTTGAATCAATCTTGGAAATTTCGCTATAAATAAATCACAATCGATTGTTATTTTTTGATTGATAGATATAAGTATAATTAATCATAATTCTTAATATTTTTAATTCAATATAGACCCAATGTCAGAATGATTGATATATATTATTTGTAATTGATTATAACGTACACACACTTTTATAGAAAACAATTTCACATGCATAAACATTATATTTTATAATTTAATTTACTAATCAACTTTCCTCAGATAGATAGAAAATTGAGGATCATAAATCAAAAATCATCCGACAATTTCAAAAATCAATAGAATTTTTAGTTTTACATTTACAATTTCTAAAATTTGTAATATCATTTTAAGTAATATTGCAAAAATAGTTTATCCGGAAGAGATAAATTAACACGTATTTTAATTCTGAATGTGTATGTTACTAAACACTTGGCAAGCAAATAAATGTGCGCTTAAACGTAGTAAGTACTCTCAGCTGCATATGAATACAAGTATTTAAAACTATATGGTAAATTTAAAGTTCCTCCACCAATATAATAAAATAAAAGTACATACTCTATGCTGGGTGGCTGTTGTGGCTGCTGTGACTTAAGAGGCCGCGGAACTTGGCGTGGCTGAAATCCGCGACGTCGATGGCCAAGTGCGAGGGAGTTGTTGGCAGGGTATGGGTGACCTCCAGCCTCCGAGTACCTATCGTCACCCTGTTCCGTCTCACCGTAGCCAATGTCGCAGAACGAGTCCTCGCACACCTGCTCGCTCCACTTCTTCGTCGACGACGGAGGATCAAAGGAATCCTGGTCATGGGCGGAAGTGTTGGCACTGCTACCGTTCTCCGACTGCTTATGCTGGAGCTGCTGCTGCTGCTGTGGGCGGCCATCCTCAGCAGAATGCTGGGGCCCAGCGCCGTTATTGTTCACCCCATCCTCCTCGCCATCTTCGACCACCAAAAAGTCTGTGTACATGGCCTCCAGGTCTTGACCGATGTGTTTAAAGTGGCTGTAAAAGAGGTCCAGCACCATCAGCAACATGGCTTTCACCTTGGCGGATAGCGCGGGCTGCATGATCAAATGGCGGCGGACGTGGAAGAGCAGAAGATCGATCTCCACCTTGTGCCGCTTGCGCATAATCTCCCCGTTGAGTGTGATCTGTGAGAGCACCAGACGGGCGATCCGTGTGCCCAGCACCACTGAGGTATCGTTCAGCTCGCGGGTGAGCAGGTCCAGCAGGGATTCACCCAGAATGGTGATCGGGGCATTATCCGCCAGCCGTACCCTGTGGTAGTACTCGCCCAGAAGCGTGATTGAGTTGTACAGACGGTTCTTGTCGTGCAGCCGATACGTATCCGCGTTGAGAAAGTTCGTCTCCAGGATTTTGAGCATGGCGCTGCGCACCTTTGTTTCCTTCATTGCCAGAGCGTCGAAGTTTCGCGACGAGAAGAGCAGGGCGAACTTTAACGCCGTATCACCATCGCCTAGCGCCTTGTCATTTAGGTACTCCATGGATTCGCTGCAAGTGAGAACCAAATAATAATTTATTGTCAGATCGCAGAAGTTTTCTATTAGGGGCCTCTTAAAACATAGTATTATCCAGTAATAATTTGATAGTTGTGAGTTTTACGGATTACGTATTGGTGTATGTTTAAATCAAAACTTAATTGAATCAGTTTGAGTACACTCACTCGCATATCTCTGCGTACACCCCAAAAAATTTCAAAATCTAACTTTGAACATTAACTGTTCGGCCATTTATGCATGTATTTTATTCATTCTTTTTTTAAACAAAACTATGGTTTATTGTCTTCATTGACGTATAAATATTAGAAATATTCAACAGGGGGTTATATTTTATTTTTAATTTTAAACCTAACACTACGAAAAAGTGTACGCGCAAAAGTCTGCGTACAGCAGTTTTCAACTTCGAGGAATGCAGGATTGTGCGATTTCCGTTAATTTTGTTGTCGCCGATCTACTTTAGAATGTCTAAAAATAGACATTACGCAGTTAAAATGAAACTCTTTCATTATAATAACGAGCATATTGCAACATGGAACAAAAAGGCAAGGAAATTTCTGTTGAGGAGTGGAAAATAATATTAAAAGGTTTTTTGGATGGAAAATCTTATAGAGAAATTGGTGCTTTAGTTGCTAGAACCCACTCATCCATCCAAAGAGTGATAAGTAACTACAACTCGGCTGGAAGTATCTTGCCAAAGGCTCGTTCTGGCCGTCCGCCTTTACTTATAAACCGCGAGCAGAGGAATATTATCAAATCTATTCAGCTCAACCCAAGGACGACAGCTCACCAGGCAAAGCTGAAGGTCGAGGATAGATTTTCCAAAAGAGTTTCCGAAGATACTGTACGCCGGACCATAAAAAAGGCTGACTACCATAGCAGAGTCGCCCGCAAAAAACCTCTCATATCGGAAGACAATAGACAAAAGCGCCTAACCTTTACTAATGAGTATATTTCCAAACACCAAGACTTCTGGAATAAGATTATATTTCCCGACGAAACTAAATTCAGCATATTTGGAATCAAGGGAAAGGTTTTGGTATGGAGGAAAAGCGGAGAAGCCTCAAATTAAGAAAATTTGGTTGGCACAGTAAAGCAAGGAGGAAGCGGAATAATGGTGTGGGGGTGTATGGCAGCAAGTGGCGTTGGAAAATTGGCATTTATCGAGTTAATAATGGATCAGAAAATCTATATTGACATATTAAAAAACAATTTAAAAGAAAGTGCTGAAAAATTAGGGCTCGAAAGTGAATGTTGGTTCCAACAAGACAACGACCCGAAGCATACGGCGCAGAATACCAAGCTTTGGCTGCTGTATAACGTCATAATTCAGCTGCGAACACCTCCCCAAAGTCCTGATCTAAGCCCAAATGAGCATTTTTGGGATCTTCTTGAGAGGAAAATCCGAAGACACACGATAACATCTAAAAAATGCTCAAGAATGTGATTCTCGAGGAGTAGGGGAAAATTACTGCAAATGAGACAAAAAAAAAGTGGATTCCATCCCGAGACGCCTTACGGAAGTTTTGCAGAGAAAAGGATACCCTACCAGTTACTAAAAATAATATTATTTGTGTTTTAAACAGGTGTACGCAGACTTTTGCGGGTACATTTTTTGGTAGTGTTAAGTTTAAAATTAAAAATAAAATATAAAACACTGTTGAATAATTTAAAAAAAAATACGTCAATGAAGACAATAAATTATAATTATGTTTAAAAAAAAGAATGGGTTGAATATATGCATAAATGGCCGAACAGCTAGGGTTTAAAGTTAGATTTTGAAATTTTTTTGGGGTGTACGCAGAGATATGCGAGTGAGTGTAACTCTATGACTAATACTTGTAGAAAGAAACGACTGCATTATTTCTCAATATCTTACATACTTATAAACATATATACAAATGTGTTTGTTTATTTCCCTTTTTATTATGCAAATTTGAATATGTTTTCTCTAATCATTAAACTTTCCCACATGATCATTATTATAGTTTTTACCACAACTGGCTTTAACGCCCACTTTTGTTTACCCTCAACTGTTGGTATGTTATTGTACACATTTATATGATAGGTTCGCAGGCACAGCAGCATTATCTGATAAGCCCAAGTTGCGAACTATTTGCTCAGCAAACTAACTCGAGCATGAGCCTGAGAGAATCGGAGGGAAAAATGTTCACTTTGAACTGATTCGATGGCGCCGATGTCTCTCTAGGGGTGATTATTTGTATGAAAAGCTGTAAATTTTTAAGACACGCTGACGTCCAAGCAACCTGGTCGCAAACAACAAACTCGTGCACACACATATTTACATCTACACTGCGTTTAAAAACTGTATAGCGCTTGAATATGTGTAGCTCTTTTAAATAAATTAGTGGGCTGGAATGCATTGAATGTATATTAGCTATTTAAACAAAAATATTAACTATTTCCTATTCTACTAACCAATTTTATATGGTGTCATAAATAAGTTATGATTAGAAATAAACGTTTTGTAAGTTGCCTTAAAATAATTGATCAACCGCACCAATTGAACGCTAAAAATAAAGGAATCCCTGAACTTTGATAAGTGTTTTTCTTGCTAGGGGCAAAATATATAAATTTCCAATGGAGTAAACGTAGAATGCATAAATTTAATTTTAAGCAAACCCCGAAAATTAAGCAATTCATTTGCCTACGCTTTCTAGAAAGACCCATCCATTGAAATACCGCCGTAACAACAAGATGGATTAAATAACAAATATGGGAATTCCAAAACTGCCTGTTTGTCAAATAATTATACATTAACTAGCTATAAATCAACAAGTTATCAAAGGTTGGAGTTATCAGAAATTATGGGTTGAGGTGCTCTCTAGTTTTGAACCTACGCTCACGCACCACACTGTACCTTAGCCTCACCGGGTATTTATACGCGAAAAGAGGTGCCGAACATACACACTACTTATGATATTATTAATCATCAATGGGCACGCGGACAGAGCGGAACACATACCACAGCATCGACTCGTCGCGCACTATGTTGCAGTAGTCCGTCTCGATGGTCTTGATCTTGGAGTTCAGCACGATGCCATCGTCCTGCAGATCGAGGTCTCTCATAAGGGCGATGATGTGGTCATAGGCACAGCCACCTGTTGGAATTTGGTAGCTGGTGGCGCCTGCGTTCAGAATGTTGCAAACATCCCGCAGACGCGCCCCCTCGCCACTACCACCGCTTCCTCCACCCATCGCCGAGCTGTGACCACTGTCCGCCGCACTGTTGTTGTAACTGCCGTAGGTGGTGTTGTTGCTGTCGCCACTGTTGTTGCCGACCATGTTGTTGGCCATTTCCATTTCTCGACGGGATCGCTGCCGATTGTTGTTGTTATCGCACGGTTGTTTGTCTCTGCCCCTTCCACACACTTCTTTTCTGCGTTTGTATGCGTGCGCTGGTCGTCGGTGTTCCACCAAATAAGAATCAGCGTTGACAAAGGTGTCGAAATGAAATGCGCACGCCAAATTATCCACCTTTTCGCCCAGCTCCCGCTTCCGGTGCAAGTGCGATTGCAGTTAGTTCACTAGGACCCACGGTCGATTGGAACGCAACTAGCAAACGGAATTAAATGCACAAATCTATCACAATCCTATTTATTATTGCTATTCGACGACTTTTATAGTTGTGTATTAGTGGTGGCACCGATGGCACTATCGAAAGCGCACGGTGTGCTTTCGCAAACTGCCCGCTGGTGGTGGTTCTGTCACCGATAAGTCCATTATGGTGGCTGGAAAACCTTTGACAAACCTTTAGACTAAATTATTTTGTAAATTTGTAATTATGTTCTCTGCAAAAACAAAGACATTTAGTTTACAGCAAAATTCACAGAAAATAAGTGTAAACCAAACTTAGCTAATTCACTTTGTATTATAAATAGTGTAAATTTATTGAACTTTTTTTATCACATGTATCGAATGTACAATGTACAAAAGTAGCTATAATAGTCGAATCGAAAACATCCAACAAAAAGAGCATAAATCCAACAATAATGATGTCTTGTGAATCAAAAGAGTGTGAAGTATTGTTAACTCGTTTAAAAACAAATATCTTTTAAGTTAGCCAATATAGCGTGAAAAAATCTAAGCTTCACAGACTGCCAAACTATCGATATCTGCCATATGCTGCTGTGGTGAAATTAGCTAGTGCGGAGATGGTGAAATCGCCTGAAATCAGCTGTGTTTCGTTGGGCGCGTAAATTGTGCGGCGTGCATTTTGTTGTCTTTTTGTAATAACTGTTTTTATGTAGTTATCTGTGCCAAAAAATGTTAAACTTAAACTGCGTAATATGCGCCGAACTGTTTGGTCAGGCCGACGAGGTGTTTGCCACTGTATGTGGGCACATGTTCCACCACAGTTGTCTCAACCAATGGCTCGATCGGTAAGGAGTCCTCTGGAGTTCTTCGAGATCTCCCGATGTTATATTTCAGTATCTATTGTAGATCGAAGACCTGTCCCCAGTGCCGTAACAAGTGCACTGCCCGCAACATTTTTAGAGTCTACTTCAATTTGGCCAACTTAGATGTGAGCCGAATCGATGTGGGCTCCCTGCAGGAGCAGCTCGACAACGCAAAATTGTCGATGAAAATGATAGAAAAGGAGCGCAACAAGGATGAGCAGCAGATGCGCAATCTAAAGGAGACGCAAAAGAAGTGCCTGTGAGTCTTACCGTAGAAATTCCCTGAAATCACCCTCTGATCCTCTCTTCCTTTTCAGAAAAACCATCGCTGGTTTGGAGCAGAAGGTGCAGAAGAAGGAATTCCTCATCAGCAGCTATGCTGAGCAGATTAGCATGTTAAAGAACGACGCCCTGGTGGTGGATGGGTTGCGCAAGGAGAACAAATCCTTAAAGTCGCAGATACAGGCCATGGAGGGCATCTCGGCCATTCTAACAGCTGGCTCGGCGGATGCTGAACGCCTGCTCAAGAACGAGGCCGATCCCCACGTTCTGGCCAACTGGGTGTCCACACTGAAGCGGGAGTTGCGCCAGTGCGAGAGCAAGAAGACGGAGCTCAGAAACGTAGTCAAACTGGTGCAGAATGATCTGCGCAAAGAGATCGATCTGAAACGGTTTGTCTACTTTAGTGTGTAAATGGTTCCCATTTTAAGTCTTGTCCTTTCTTTTACAGCAAATTAGAGGAGCGTGTTTCCCACCTGGAGAGCGATCTTTACCAGGCACAGGAGAAGGTCGGCAGGGCTTACTTTCACATAAATTCGATTTTAATAAAGTCTCCTCTTTTCAGCTTCAAGCTCTAGAGAGCAAGCCCATTTGTTTGGACTCCCCCAACACCTCTTATGGTCTAAATAGTAACGTTTTAGCCCTTAAACGCGATGCGAGGCGTTCCACCATTTCGCCTACAGTTGTAAGTACTCGCAGTTATTCGGAAATAGCAGCATTTAATGTTTTTCATCCCTGCAGAAGGAGAATATAAAGCGTATTGAAGAGTCCACCTCTCCGTATCTCAACATCAAATCCAGCAGCGTGGGCTTGGCTCATCTTCTCAATACCAAGGGTAATATTGGACTGGTCAAGACCAAAATATCACCCATCAAGGGAGCCGGTGGTGTGAGTATGACCAGCGGAACCATACGTAAAACCAACAGCGATCTCAGTGAAAAGGTAGGTACAGCAAGCCAACTAAGTGAAGTAAAATTAATAGTTTTAATCCCCGTAGTACTCAATCTTCAAGAAGCCTCGACTGCTGCTGGGCAGCTCGAGCAGCACAGGTCTGGCGGCCACCACAGGCTCTAACTTTGTTTACAATGGAATGGGCGGCTCCGAGAAGGTGGATCCCTTCGCGCAGCGCGCCGAAGAAGAGGGTTTGGCGGGCAGCAGACCCTCAGCCGTCCTTTCCCGGAACGTAAACCAACGCCTTAAAGCCGGCTCCCTGCGCAATTTCAACTTGGGCAAATAAATCAATAGCCATGTGATCATTTAAGACTCCCCCAGTTGCTGTATTAGCGTGCGATTGCTATTAAGGATTGCCGTATTGTTAGATAGCCAATGCATGGAGTAAGCAGTAGTAATAAGTTAGCATTAAATACAAAAAAATACAAAAGGCAAATGTGCGATCAGGCAGCAATCTTCTTTTCCGCTGTTCCCGTCCACTCTTCGCGCAGGTGGACACTGCAGCCGAGATCACGCAGCGCCGCCTTGATGTCCTGCTGCACGCTGGGGTGCTCCTTCATGGCGTCGTTCAGCAGATCCTCGACACCAAAGGAAATCCAGGTCTCGCACTGGTTTCGCGAACGTGACACCATGTTGCGGATGGCCCAGGCTCCGTTTCGCTGGACGATCTTGTGCTTGGGGTGGGCGCGAATCGCCTCAACAATCACCTCGGCAATTCCAGTCTCGAAGAAGGCGGCGCTGTGTTCCTGCACTCGGAGTGTCAGCGTGGTCACGCAGGCCAGAGCGGCAGCCACGATGTTTTCGTTAGAGTGGTGCGTCTCCAGCAATTGCTTTATGATGGGAGCCACGCCTTGCTGGACTATATGTGTTTTCACCGAGTCATGACCAGCCAGCGCCCGCAATAACTTTAAGGCCTCCTTGTTCAGACGCACTTCGTCTAGGTTCCGGCTCATGATCTCGAATACGGATTTCAGACCGCCAGCCTCGTCGATGGCCGTGCAGAGTTCCTGCCGCACAGCCAGTGTTCCAATGGTGAGCAGCAAATCGGCCAGCACGTTGGGATCCTCGTAAGCCGGCAGTAGTTCGACCAGCGGGAGCAGAACCTCGCCGGCTATTTGTCGGGCGTGTTCATGGGCGCAGCCAAATTCCACGCGGATGTCGTCGTCGAGGACCAGGAATCGAAACACGGCGGTCAGCTCGCGCATCAGGCGATCCTTGCCTTTGCCCAGCAGAGGCTTCATTAGCTTAAGGGCGGGAGTATTCATGATATTCTGGCGGTTCACTTCGTGCATGATGCACGCCTTTTGGAGCCACTGTAGCGTCAGCAGGGTGATGTCCTGGTTCTCCACTTGGAGGGCCAGCAACTTCAGAACCACGGCCATGGCTTCGGCATCAAACAGATCCGGCTGCTTGTGGGTCAGGCTGTTAACAGCCTCCAGTGACTTTTTGATCAAGGCTTCGTTGGGTGAATCAGCAGAGAGGGTTTCCTCCAGCAGAGTGATCAGAGCATCGTGAGCGCCATTCTTGCCGGCTAGAACCCGGTGGGCCAAGGACTTCTGACACTCGGCATCCAGAGTGGCCAGCTGTTCCAGCAGCTGGGAGGTATCCTCCGTTTTTTGGCCAATGTGCTCCTTGATCTTGTCCACCGTTTCGTTGATTACCGGTTGGCCGGTCTGAGGATTAACGGACAGGTCCTTTATGATGTTCGCCAGATTGATGCCCTACAAGAAGTCCATTGAAGTGAATCACCTGTCGGAATTAGACAATTGACTTTACTCACCTGCGCCTCGAATTGCTTAATGGTTTCCTCTTTCGCCTCCGAGGGCGTCATGGAAAACTCCACCACATTCTCTTTGACCACATCGTCAAAGGTGTCCTGCGATATAACCTTGGCCATGGCAGTGATTCGTCCGATTTTGGCTATATCCCAAGCAGCTGCAGCGCTTTAACTTTTCAAATTTTTACTTTGTTCTCTCTGTCTGCAACTTCCCACACACACCCGCACACACGCACACGCTGACACAGTTCAAATTTACGGCATGCGGTCACACTATCGTACTCCAGCTGACCAGGTATCGATAGATATCGATTTAAGAAGCTCGTGAACGTACCGTTAGACTTAGTTCACCACCAAACACACTCTAAAAAATGTTTTTAAAATAATTGATTGAATCTTTTATAATTCAATACGGGTTAGGTAAATAAAATAAAATTCGTAAATTTAATAAGGCCAAAAATATTATGACTAATCGACAGGTCGAACAATAAAATTAAAGTTGCAATAAAAAAATCATTATTATGTTTGATTTTTCACAACTAAATCAATAAAAACAGGATACGAAAAAAACTTTATATTATTCAATTGAATATAAAATAAATTACCCAAACATTTTAAATTCGAGAAAAGCAATTATTTACCATTCCGTTCGAAATGAAAATGTAAAAATAGCTTGAGCTTGCTGTTTGTTTTTAATTTACATAAGTCTGTATTTTGGCTTAATCATGCTCGTTATTCACACTGCGGATTACATAAAGACGGTTGGGCGTCAAAGCGTCTAAGAATAGAAGGAGAAAACACGCCGAGATAGACACAAACACATGCACATCTAGAGAGGGTCAACAAAAGCGCCATTAATATATGGCCAGAAAATCCTGGCTAGCAGTAGCTTGGCCTAGCCGAAAAATTGGCAGTGGCTCGCCGCTCATTTTCGCTTCGGCAGCTTGTAGTCGGTCGGCGGATGCAGCTTCAAGTGATCCAGAAACACGGGCTGCATGTCCGCCCGCCAAGAGATCTCCTCGCGAGCCCTCACAGGCCCGTCCTTGCAGGTCAGCCAGTAGGTGCTCATCAGGCCTTTGCCCTGAAATTCATTAAAATAATTAAATTGGATTTAAAGAAATGTTAACTTAATAAATAAAAAAAATGTTGTACCATTAAAAACCACACTACGTATGAGTGATATTGTGGTTGCTCATACGACGTGTTGCATTAAGTGAAAATTTTTAATTGAAGCTCTTATTATTATTAAAAATGAATATATTATAATCATAGTCCCCACCCACCTTGACATCGATGAGGCCGCGGTGCTCGGTCCGGAATCCGCCCACCTGCTGCAGCGAGTCGTGCATCTCCTCGGTGATATGTATCTTCTGGGCCTCGCCGGTGCTCTCCATGCGCGAGGCCGTGTTCACCGTGTCGCCGAAGAGGCAGTAGCGCGGCATCTTGGTGCCAACGATGCCGGCGACCACCGGACCCGTGTGCACTCCGCACCGGATCTGGACGAACTCGTCGCCGGCCCTGGGAATCCGGAACACCGACGAGGCGTCTAGCAAATCAAGCGCCATTGTTGCTATCTCGCTGATGTGCTTGTTTCCTGCAGAGAAGGCAGCGGGTTGGAAGGTTCCATGGCATAAATTACGCGCATGGCCACAAATGAAATTTAAATTAGCGCAAATCTTTTTTTGGGGGCAGCCAAACAGCGGGGCGATTGACGGGGAGCCGGGCTAAATGACTGACTGACTGACAGCTGAATTTGCATAAATTACCGTTCTTCACCGGCAGACCCGATGCCACCATATACGAGTCTCCAATTGTTTCCACTTTGTAGACGTCGTAGCACTCGATACGCTCGTCGAACACCCGGTAAATGGAGTTCAGAAAGGTCACCACCTGTCAAATGAAAAGTCCAGGAAAGAACTTTAATAACTAAGCGTCCCACTACCTAGACCGGACAAAAAGCAACGTGTGTCCATTGTGCAACAATGCGCAAGTAGATATCCAGCATATAATCTGTACTTGCCCCGCTCTTACCTTGCAACGATCTCTATTTCTCCAAAACCCCAACCCCATAACCATGATAGCTAATCCCACAAATTCAAACTCCCAACTCATCTTAAAATTCCTGAACAGTTCTAAAATAACTCACAATATATGAAATAAGAACACATGTAAATACAATATGTAAATATGTAAATACAATTAATCCATTACTTTTGTAAATATGAAAACTTTGTAAATATGTAAACTTTGTCAATAACTTTATATTAGTTCCATAAACATATCTAAGCCCCGAGCTGAAGGCCTAAGCTGCTATGGCTCTTACGAAACGTTAGCTCTTAGTTTAACACTAACTGTTAGCTTTAGATAAATAAATAAATAAATAAATAAAACTAAGCGTCCAATTTAAATTAATAACATCACACATATGCCAAAAATAAAGCTAAGCCACGCAAATCTCTAACCTCATACCTCATCTTAAACTTAATAAATAAGAAAGGCTTTATTTAAAATTAAGAAATTAAATTTGTAATTGCCAAATATAATGTTCAGATAAAATGATTGATTATTTCTTGCTTAAAGTATATATATGCTGTTAAATGTATAAATTGAGGAATCAAATTTTGAACTTGATTTTCGGGGTATAATTTAAGTTACCTGGAATACTTTTAAAATTGTTAGTACAAATAATTTATTTAAATTAGAATTTTAAAATAGAAAACTCATAACTATCGGAATCTTAAATTTAAACAATTGTTAATATAGCAACGAGATCTTATAAGAAATCGTACCTGTATTTATTTCTAACAGTACAAGCATCAATAACATAGGAAACTTACCTCCAGTGGAGTACAGTCCGCGGCGATTTCGGTGAAGCCCACGATGTCGCTGAAGTAGACGGTAACTGCCTCGTAGAGCTCGGCGGGCACCTGTCAGGGAGTCAATTAGACCAGCCTAATTCCCACCCACTCCGGACTCACCTGCTGGGTCTGTTTCAGCTGCATGGCCACGCTGGGGGGCAGCATTTGGAAGAGCAGCGAGTCGCTCTTCCGCTTCTCCCGCTTCAACTCCTTGGCCTTCTGCGACAGATTGAAGGCATAAAGCTACGGGAAGTGGAATGCTTAGTTGGATTAGTTAAACTATAAAGGCTATATCAGCACCTGAATCGTGGCAGCGGCATTCTTAACCAGCACTATGATGACCGGCGATACCAGGAGCACCACAACCAGAATGGCTATGCCAATGGCCTCTTTTCGGTCAGCCTGCACCAGCGTTTCGTCCACATACTCCCTTTAAAATAAAAAAGAAAATCAGAAAATAGTTAAAAGTATTGTAAATAATTGGGATATAAGAAATAAGCTTAAGTTTCCCTACTTGATTAATCGTCGCAGGGCCTTTTGTAGTATTCTTAGGTCATCGGTATAGTTGTTCATCAACTCGTAGAATTCGATGGCACTGCGCTCGTTTGAAACATTCGGATTGTTCTTCAGCAGTGTGTTGCTCCTGTGAAAGGACACCATGTCAAATCATATTATTATAAATTAATCCAGCATACACACATTTGTTTGGCACGATGGAACTTCTTGGTGCTGGTGATATTGGTGTACATATTCTTAAGCATGGGTGCGTAGTTCAGGGTGGAGTTGATCATCTCACGGGCCATGAATTCGTAGCGCACATAAGACACGAAATTCTCGGCCGTCAAGGATCCTCGTCCATAGTATCTGATGCCGAACGAAGTTGCGATGTTCTGGCACTCAATGCTTTTGAGAAGGTTTTTGAATCCCACCAGATAACTATTTGATTTAATAAACAAATTTGAGGCGTTATATATTCTTAAAATTTTTTCCAAGATATGCTAATCAGATTTACTATAAATTATGAATTTAAGCTAGAAGACCATTTAACTGATATTTCCTTCTTAAGTATTTTTATCTTAGAGTTTTAAGCTCACCGCCAAACGCCACTGCTGTCTGTTTCCTTGATTTGCTCATTTAAATGATGCAGTAATCCCCGATTGATGGATGTATACCAGTTCATCACCTCCGTGATGGAGCTCTCTTCCGGTTCTAAGCGCACCCGATCCCTGAACTCGTTCAGTCGACTCTGGAACTCGTATCGGTTCAGCATCATCTCCCGATCGTCCTCATCCTCGTCTGGAGCTGTAGGAACACTGATTTCACTCCAGGTGGTCATGTTGTTCAAGGCGTGATCCGTGTTTGCAAATCGCAGTGTTAAGTTGGCTCTGTTTTTAATCCAAAGGTAAAATGATAAGCTGATAATCCTCTGGAATTGAGCAGACGAAGCACTTACCGCTGTTTGCTGCCGTTTGTGAAAATATAAAAGGCTACTTCAGAGCGCTCCAGTTGCAAGCGTGTTACCACCTTTCCCAAGTCGGTGGCAATGGTCACCTAAGTTATAACAATTATTTAAGGCAGGTCATTTTAAAGTTTTGTCATGATTAAATCATAAAGCTTGAAAACAAATTTTTGAATCAAAATGCTTTTGAAAAAACTCAATAAGTACGTCTGAACAAAACTTTAATTTGTATTGCCATTGTAAATAAGTGTACCCAAAAACAACTGATTTTTTGGTAAACATTTTTAATTTAATTATCATTGCTTTGAAAACATAAAATAAAACATTATATGAAAGTTTGCGCATTTGCACTGATTTAATTTGCCAAAACAAAGTTAGAGAAATAAACTTAAATACTTAATTATTTACAAGGCCAAGTGAAACCAAGAAAAAGAATTATAAGTATATCTACTCAGGTATGTTTAAATGATTACAATTTATAAGAAAATTGTAAGATCGGGCTTAGAATAGCCTAAATTGATATGTTATCTTTTGTATTTGTTTGCTAAAAAAAAACTGCCTTTGATATTACGTATACGCCGAGTGGAACTATCAGGTTCATGGGAAAAATATAAGATAATTAGATTAAATATATTCAGCAGTAAGTATAGAAATTTTTTAAGACAATTTGCCTTATAAAATGAACAAACAAATGAGTCAGTCTAACTAATTGTAATGCTTGTGATTTCCAAATCAATTTGATTTTATTATTTTGGCCAGCATTATAGGAATCCCTAAATTTAGAACTAGGGGGTTCTCCTTAGTAATCAACTGAGCCCTTGCAGTCAGGCGATCTTTTTGAGTTTATGATCGCCGTAGTCAAATTGATAACGACAAGATAACTACCACTAGGCGTATACTTAATATTCTACGAATCCTTATCAAAAAGCTGACTTATCGCACCCCCCAGCTGTTCGGTCATATAAAAGAGCTCGATTGGCCAGCAGCGGGTCAGTTACCCAAGATGTTGTGGCCCAAGTTAGTTTGCTTTGCATTGGTCAGTCTGGCCTTTGGCCAACTTTACCAGGTAGCCAGCGAGGATACCATCTCCGTTTGTCCCACCAACTTCACCCGAGTGGCGGACAAGTGCCTCCTGGTGGACGGGAGCTGGAAGAACTTTTACGAATCGGATCGCCACTGCCGATCCATCAACGCCGGTCTCCTGAGCATCAAGAACCAGACGGAACTGAATGCCATCAACCAATGGCTCCCAGTGGTTGCCCAATATCAACTAGAGTTCTGGACAGCCGGCAATAAGTTGGGCCAAGTTAGGGACGACTACTACTGGCAGAGCACCGGGGAGCAGGCCTTCTATCTGCCCTGGAACACGGGACAGCCCACTCCCGCCAGCGGGGATTGCCTCACCCTGTTGGCCAACTATAACCTGACCTCTGAGGCATTCGTTATGGATCCCCATCGCCTGACCGTGAAGAACTGCACCCAGTGGGCACCCCACATCTGCCAGACCCCGTTGCAAGTGTTCAAGACCCAGCTGTGCCTCAATACCAGTGCTTTCTTCGAGGCCAAGATTCCCGTTTAAGTCTTTTAAAAGAAAAGGGAGATATTGACAATATTAAGTACATTTCATTAAATAGTGCTGCTCAAATTAAATCAATATTTGATTATTAATTATTAGTTTATTATCAAAGGCGTGATATTTTTTATAAGTGTGTCTAAGGGTAAATTATTATTAAGTAATTAAATTTGATTAAAATACTATCTTTAGAATGTTTATTAATATTCCAACTGATAGTTAAATACTGCCAAATGAGTAACCTTATCAATTCCGATTTTGAAAACTTTCATTAAACTAGTTATCATAGTTCTTTAGATTACACTGTTGTTGGTTAAAATTATTAGATACCGTGAAGTAATTAGGCAAATAAGTACATTTAGAAAGACAGTGCCAAATTTTGTTGTAAATTATTTGTAAGAGAAGTAATTTCTTTTTAACAATTCCGATTTTAAAAACTTTCATTAAACTAGTTATCATAGTTCTTTAGATTACACTGTTGTTGGGTAAAATTATTAGATACTGTGAAGTAATTGGGCAAATAAGTACATTTAGAAAGATAGGACTTATATTTTTAAAAATTATTTGTAAGGAAAGTAATCTCTTTTTAACAATGAAAAACTGTCAACTGTTATTTGCAAGCTCCACTTTTTCAAGGATTGAAAATTTCTTTCATCAATAAGTTTATTCTTTTTTCCTTGATTTGTTTATAGTGAGTTTTGCATTCTAAGTACGTGACCCTATTCAATGAGTACCGACACCCCAACCACTAGTCATCGGCCTCCCACTTTCCCACTTTTCGCTCCCCATTTCCCGGTATATACTACCCACTCCCATTTTCCACCCCCTCAATGTCGCTGCATATTTCGCATTGCGTCCTTATCAATTCACTTTGGCTTCCCCATTCCCCCCTCAGCACACACTTTTGGCTCATATAAGTACGTACAATATTTTCCGTTCTTTCACATTTTCCTGCGAAGACTTCGCATTTGCATTATGGATAGATGAAGTGGGCGGTTGTGGGCGGAAGTGGGCCAGAAGGACGCCGTTGAGTGGCTGGCCGCGAGCTCGTGCTCCAGAACCCTTCACGGGGACTTGGACGGCACTTACCTGAGCAAACAAACGATTCCAAGGTTTCTCGTGATGGTCAAGTGAACGTTGACCAAGGAGGGAATCTCCTCCGTCATCTACTTGGCGCTTGATTGAATCGCAGTAATAAATTTTAATTACGCTTCAAAGACACAATTTCCGGGTCGCCTTGGCATTGTTTGTTTCTTTTCATTGTCGCAGCTACTCAACCAATGACCAAACCCACTGACCCATCTACTGACCTATCCTCCAAACCACCCACTAACCCACCCACTGACCCACCCACTCACCCACCCATTGACCCACCTGTGTCTCGATGTCGGCCACGGCGGAACGGTACTCCAGGATCTCTTGTAGTGTCACCGATGTTTGCACAATCAACGCCAATATTGGTATAAATGGTAGAATTATCATCTGGAAATGGATTCGCATGTCAATGAGAGTAACCTTTCGCCCACAGTGGATTTGTGTTATAATGCATTATTAATATAGGTTTACTTAAATCAATTAAAGAAGAAGAAGGTATTTACCATTTTGTGGGAAAGTAAAGGAACAATATTATTGTATTTTAGTTTCATATAGAATATGTATTTGTCTTAAGAACTAAAACAGGCACTTTGGAATAAAGGAATTTGATAAAATAGAAAACAAAATATGGGTAACCAAAAAAGATTTAAACAAAAATAGAAGTAGACTAAGGGAACCTTTTAAAAATATTTTAACTCAACTAGTTGACGTTGTTCATGATTATATATCATTAAAATCATTAATATCTGTTTATAGACTTAAAAAATAACAAATTATATTTTTTTGAGTAATCTACTATTATTTTGTACGTTACTGCCCACTAACTTTCTATTGGTGTTAAAAAAATTCAATCGTTAGCATGGAAATAAAACCTTTCCCAACCTTTTTTTGAGTAAGTAAAGTTAAAAAATCTATCAAAAATATCTTATAAAGAATTTCAATAGTTGCTGCTGGCTTTTGACCCACTGTCCCATATATTTTCATTTGTCATCAATATGTGCTCGGTGGAGGAAGAACCTGGACCAATCTCGGCGTTATCTCCGGCTGATTGCGAGCGGTAAAGGTAAGGTAAAGTAAAGGTAAAGGCAAAGGTAAAGGCAAAGGTAAACGTAAAGCAGGTGTGAAGGGAGGTGAAGGAGTCGTGATTAGTCTTTATCGTAGTCCGCTAATCGCGACATTCATTAGACAGACGCACTCTGTGGTCCCCGAGGCACGTGACTCTGACCAGTCGCCCTAATTAAGATGCATGCGCATCCGCTAATTTATGCTGCTCCGGATAAGTGTGTTTTTTTTGTTGTTTTTCGATTCGCACCTGTAGAGTGTCCCCATATTCCAGGTGGAGAAACTCACCTGCATGAGCTGCAGGCGCCGACCCGTTTTTATGGCCGGGTTACGGGCGGCGGCATTGCAACATCTCCCACTGCCGCCACTCGATATATCCTCGGAACTAATCGAGCGCACGGAAATTTTATCGAGCTGCAGATTGTGATGTGTGGGCACCAATAGGAGGCCACCGCCTCCTCCTCCTCCTCCCCCCTCCTCCCCTCCTCCTGCCGAGGAGTCCATCTCCTCGGGAGCCACAGCCATTCGCGCGTCCATCGGATGGTTCGATTGGCAACTGCTAATGTCGATCTTGACGCTGGGAGTCGGCTTTCTGCTGTAACCCGCACTGCCGCCCGCTGGACAAGGGTTCAGGTTCTGGTTCTGGTTCAGGCTCGGGTCAGGGTTCTCCTTCTCGTCCTCTCCGGACTTGTGCGCTTTTCCATTTAGCATATTGCTGATTGTTCAGGCGAGGATGTGGAGTGCCAGTGGCTCATAAACACGATTGCTGCACGGGGAGAAAATGTCACCGAAATATTTATATCCGAGGTGCTTAAGGGTCCCGCAGAAATTCCATAGGAATTGAAACTATCGAAGGTGCAAATTGAACACTTAAATTCAAATTCCTATTTTAAAAACTCATAAGGACAAATGTAAAATGTAAAAGATTTGTTCCGAATAATATAATATTTGTTTAAGATGTGAGAGTGATTTAAAACTGGCATTGAAAATCTATTAAATATTATATTTGGCGCGCTATATATGTATGTCTGTATTATTAAAATAAACTTTTCGTATTTTTTTCTGTAGGAAATCCATTTTAAATACAGCTAGTATCAATACTTTTTATAGTGTGTCATTTAAAGCTTTAAACTAAATTAAGCGGTATAGATTTTTGTATAATTATTTCTTGAAACATTTTTTAATGTTAAGTTTATTTCTATATATTTAGTTAAGCTTTTTTCGCAGTGTGCTGGAAGTGCAAATGTCACTGCGAATGCTGACTGTACATAATTGTTGCGTGTTCAATTTGTATCTGATAGTTTCACTCGGGCGACACTTGTTGAGTTTCAATGGGGCCGTAATGAGGAGGGCGCGTATAATAATTGCAAGGAATGGCAGATAAGCACATATGGGTGGCCGGACCACGCCCCCGCCCCCGTGGCCGCCTCGCTGGCCGCCAAACAAATGTCAGGACTTCAGGACATCAGGACATCGGGACTTTGGGACCTCGGGACGTCAGGACGACAGGACGACAAATTTGATGGATGAGCAGCCAGGCAACCAAGCGTTGCCTTTTGGGAGGGTGAGAATTGAGCAAAGGGGTTGGGGGCTTTGAGTTTAATTGAAAGCACATTTGATTGCTGCTCCCCCGGGCGGAACGCGGTTTTTTTTCCCAGTGTAGCACCAAAGTAAACAATTTGCGCGATGGCCTGCGTTCTTGTATCTATGTGGACATATATCCTTCATCCTTTGTTGTTTCTGTTGTCGCAGTGTCCGCTGGCTGGTTTACTTTTCGCATTTATCAAGAGCACATTTATTGATTAAAGTTTTAATTGCCCACACACTCGGAAATAATTGGAAAAAAAAACTCGAAAGATATTTATTAAATTTTGATATATTCCACAGCTGGGCTTATTGGATTTGACTTTATGTGTTATTCGCGGCCGTATTTCCAATCAATCGCACAGCACGAACATAAAAAGTTTCTTTTTTAATTTTTATTACACATGACACGCATTAAATTCCCACACAACAATGGCAAGAAATTCAATTATCTATTAGCGACAAGTAAGAGGAATGCGACATTAGGCCCCGCAATGTGAGTTTTCCGTACGTGGGAGTTTTCTCCGTATCCGCCGTATTTTTCCTTCGTTTTCCGCGATTGAATGCGAGCAGCGCCCAGTGCCAACTGAGCTTAAACCTGTTGAGTTTGGTCTGTTTATAGCGAGGGTCCTGTGGGAGCGTCCGTCCCCTCCCCCCCTCCTGCCCAATTCCACCCCCCACGCAGGACTGCGCACACGGCACTCTGTTATCCCGATGTAAACTTTTATAAGCTGTAATCTGTTGCGTGCAGGATGCCTGGATTTTATTGCTTTGCCTCATATTCGGGTTAATTTTCGGGGTAGCCACAGGAATCTCTAACGACCTTAAATTAAGCAATTTGAATGTATACTGTTAATTATGTTGCCTTTGGCCTCCTGGATAAACTCTTGTTAGCCCTTTTTGCCTTATTTAAAAGCGAGATCCTCTTAGTGGCCTGCCATTTTGAATTTAAAATTATCTACGGTGTTATCTGTTTAAGTCTAAAATGCCTACACTATCTATTCCAAACACAAATGATATTTTCAAATTTTAAAATTGGCAATAATATATTATTTAATAATATAATTTTAATATATTTGTAGCTCAAAATAAATCTTTCAAGAAAAACGGCTTTTGGCATTTTTTACATGACATGTAGATATCTTTCGTCCTTAAATCAATCAAGCAGTTCACTGCTTCCCGTTTGCTCACCTAACGGATACGCGAACCTTTTGTAAAATTGATGTATAGAATATGTAAAAATAAAATAACATCATAACACAGTTGTTTATCGAGTGAAAAAACATAATTATTATCATAAGAATGGTTCTAGAAATTTTTGTTTTGTGTTCTGTCGACAATATATAAGCCTAATCAAACATGAATGGCTGTATTATGTTCCTAATTGTGTATAACATTTTCTGACGTGATTTAAAATCAGATTTAAAAAATCAAATTCCGAGCACCTGTAATTAAAATGGCATACACAGTAATTGTAGTAAAAACCATTTATAAAATACATAAAAAAATTAATTATAATTTAATTGACACACAACAAATTAATGTTTGTCTTAAATTATATTTTGTCAGTAACTTTTTATTAAGGAAATATATAATTATTTTGAAAAAGCAGCCTATAAAATAACAATATTTTCAATTGATTGCTTGCCCATCATTCGAATTTATTTTTCCTTGGCAAAGCGGTAAATAGCTCAGAATCCGGCAGATCGGCAAGACTTTATTCAGATATCGGGCAGCATAAATCGTAGTTTGGCAACTCTGAGCGTTCCTTTTGTCCCGCCTCTTCGGTCCGCGGCCATGAGATCATCCAGCCGAATCGGCATAATGCCCGCCTCGAGCTAGCGACTTTCCAAACGAAAAAGAAACAGCCGGGCATTTGCATAACTAGCTGTAAAATTGTTGGAAATTAACAGCGCAAGCGGCGAGCGATTGGCTGGATCCGAGGGTTCGAATCGGAATCCGCAAAAGCCGGCGATTCTAGCTGAAGAGAAGAGCAAACCTGTTCTAGGCGGTGGAGAATAAAAACAAAACCGAAAATGAGGAGGCACCAATGGACCACCTTGATGGTCTCCAATCCCCCCCTCCAACCCGCCAGTCTTCACTGTCTTTAGTCTTCAGTCTCCAGTTCCATTACCATCGCCATATCTCCTCCCGGGGAACACAATTGGATCGGGTAACTTTGAACTGGTCGGGTGTCGTCCGCTATGGTGTCCAAATTGATGTTTCAATAAAGCCTATAAATTTATGACTAACGAACCAAGAAAACATTCTCCCATGCCGATTGCCCGTTTCCATTCCGGTTGACAATGTCGGGGGATTCCGGGGGATCTGGGGATTCGGGTTGGTAACTCCATGGCACTGGAGATGGAGATGGAGATGGGCGAGGTGTAACGGTGACAACGAGTAGGTGTCGCCATTGGTGCCACTATGAATTAATTTGGACAATTTATGAGCCAATCTCTTGCCGTCCGACAACTGGCTAGGAATGTGTTTAGCGGCCACCACGGTGGTCGCTTGTCTTTTCGTAAATTGAATTATAATTTGATACCCGACTCTGCGACTCCCCAACTCTTGAGCTGACCATCTGGGGGTTCCGATCGGCCCGGCATATATTACCGATTGATCGGGCCACATAAATCTGACACTAGCGACACAATTAGCACGGCCTTTCAGTCCCCGCCCTTCGCCATCTCCCTCCCTCTCCGTCCATTTCGATCGCAGTGACTGGGAGAGTGACTGCGACTACGACTGCGACTGTGACCGTGGAAGCAGCCACCCAAAAGTGACAGCCGCCACAGCAAAATGTACATAAATAGTTCGCATTGCTCTTGGCCCAGCTGCAAGATAATGCGTAGAGTGAACGAAGGATGCAATATTGGCAAGTCGCTGGGGAAATACTCTTGGAGCGGTACCTATTCTTATACCGGCAATTGTAACTTCTTATTTATAAGGAATTTATACCAAACTATCACGATTCAAGTGCAAAGCAAATGTTTAACAGGGCCTTCATTAAAAAAATTGAGCTGTAAATTGTATATTTTTTATATGTTATATTTTATGTCAACTAAGAGAGGCTTTAAGTTTATTATGAATGACCCGTTTTTACGAACTCACGTTAAGCCAAAATAAGATTTTAAACAGAGAAGTCTTATCGAAACTTGTAGTTTAAAATCTTATTTTCGTTTACCATAAACACGAGAACCCGTTTTCTAAAAGTAATTAAGAATATATTAAAATATACAAAATAATTTGACCAAAAAGTTATCAAAAATAAAATCCCTATTATATTCATTTCTTTGGAAAACAACAACTCTTTTTTATGGGTTATTTCGAAACTTTAAAATCACATTTTTAAATACATAAACAAATATCTTAGATCATTATAAATATATATTGCACTTTAAAGCTTACTTCTAAAGTAGTTTCATTCCGTTAACTAAATAACAAATGTATTCAAATTTTGATCGAATAGCATGTACCCTCTGTTAGTGCATCAAGTGACAGCCAAAAAGCTGTGGCAAGATCCGGAGCTGTTCACATGCCGCCGCCTGGCCATGGACTCTGAAAATGTCTCATTTAAATAACTTGCATGCATTTAGTCATACTTTTTGCTTCAACCCGGTGCACCGCTGGCCCCCTCCCCCTTCATGATCCTACTGCTCCTCCGATCCCACCCCCCCTGCAGCGGACAGGCATGGGCCTCTGGGCATGCAGCGGGAATCAAGCAGCGCATCGCGACGTCAACTTAAGTGGCCAACGGAGGTAGAACAACAATAACAGCTTCGAACACAGCCCGGCGATCAGTGTTGCCAATTTGGCTATTGACATTGCCAAATTTTATATAATGTTTAGTAGTCAATCTCAAAAACAAAATATACATTTTTTGTTATGGCTAAAATCCGGAAAAAAATCAATTCAAACTCCGGTATTTTTATCAAACACCTGGAAAATAATGCTTAAATGTTGGAATGTGATATACCGTTGAATTAGTTATAAAATTTCCAATCGAATGGCATTCACAGCTGAAAAATACAATCTTAGTCGATTTTTAGCAACAAATCATAAACTTATCCAAAATGACAAAATCCGGAGATCCGAAAAAACCCACTTTTATTTCGGTTCTTTGA